CCAGATCCATCAACAGTAGGTGTAACCGACCCGGATTTGGCAAGGCGGGCCGAACGACGCATGGTAGGGATGTAGAGATAGTGACTGAGTGAAAGATATGCTCGAAGCACCCCTGAGATTGTCCGAGGCTGGGGGAGAACTAATAGAATACTTGGAGAGAGAGAGACCTTAAATACAAGCTACCGGCATGAACCGGAGGTCTAAGATGCAAAGGGTGTGTGAATACAATCTATTTGCACTACAGAAGGGTCCAGCCTATCGTCGAATGAGATGGTGTACAATTGTATGGACTCCCCGAGATGGTCCAAAGGAGCACAATGTCCGCCAGTGCGGCATGACGAGCTGGTCACAATGACAGATCGAGTGGGCGTAGGGGGGCGTAGAAGAGTCTAAGGTACCTCGAAAAGTCGATCCCGGACCGTTGAGGTAGTGGACTGAAGAACATGGTATTTGGATTTGCCGTTCTCTCGAAATTGATGGTCTCGTGCTCCAGCAGGGCTTGAGGACGCAATAAATTGCCTAAAATTCAAACACACGCACCGACTGAGTGCCAGAACCAACCTCTTTCCTGCCCACCAAGCTCCAGCCTGAGAAAATCCCACCTGTCTCGCAGTGCGCTAGCTCGTTCTCCATCTTCCCAGCCTCATTTCCTGGTGCCGGTCCCAAATCGTCCGTGATAACAAGAATATCAGTGGTGATGATGGTCTGGATCCAGTCCCATGGTGTAGCCGAAGGTCGGACGCGTCGAACGGTAACAAACACTGGGCGGTTTGTGAGAGCCCGGTCTGCTCCGGCCCCGCGTGACGGATACTGTGTCATGGGAAATTAAGAATCTGACATGACAGGTATGAGAACCCCCATCATGTCATTGCTTGGCACGACGCTGCCATGAGCTATCAACTAGATATTTGTTACATACACTCCCAGGACATAGTAGACGGAGTGACCATAGACAAATCAAGTAAATTTAGCCTTCATCATTACTAACTTAGTGCATGGCCCACTTCCTGGTTTGGCCCACGAGGTGATACGCTACAGTACGTGATCACTCAAGAAGCGGTTTCTCTGCAATTGTACTGACAAGCAATTAATTATCTGAATTCTCTACAGTTCTGCCGAGCCCCACAGCTCTCCCCACTTGAACATAACCCCAAACCAATAGCAATTGTTCTGGGCACTAGTTAGTACATCTTCAGCAAACCAGCCTAGTGCTCTCAGGGTTCAGTTCGGAAATCGGTTCGAACCCGAACTGAACCGAACTGAACTTAGGTTCGGGGTTCGGTTCTGAGTTTGGGGGAGACCAAAAAACCCGAACTTGGTTTGAACCAATGAAATTATTTAAGGCATTTGTGTAGCTAAACAGGCTTGTAGAACCTCTTTCCATCCTTCAAAAGTTCAAATTCTATACAAATGAACTTGTTTGAGGTGTCTCAATGAATTTATGGATGGACCAAGCATTCTGTCCAATGCAAGGTCAAGTGATGCTGATGTAATCATCTCCATGTCAAAGTTTTTGGACAACCCTGCTCTGAATAATTGTCCAAGAAGATCCATAAACCATTCAGGATCTGCTTGTTTCCATCTGTAGACTTATTACACATGATTTCCTTGCATTTGAGTCCTACTGGATTGAACAATGCCATACTCTCATCAAAAGTTGGTTTGGCGGTTCAAACTGGTTTGAACCTCCAAACCAAACAGTCCAAACCTGAACCGCAGTTCTGTCATAATTCAGCCCCTTTTTCATCTTATCATCGACCATCTTATCTCATCTCGGCACGGATTATCCTATCACGGATCACGGCATCAGACGGTCCGGGCTAGGGGTTCCAGGGATTATCTTTATTGATTCAAGGCTGTGCGACATATACTCCGGAAGGTTCTACTACAACCCATGACCAGTGCTCTATGCGGTACATAGCCTTATGACTCATTAGTTGTAGATATGACTCAGACTGGATTTGGGTATAAATACTGTAGCTACTTGGTTGTATTCTCCTGTCTTCGAATTCACTTCTCTTTTCGACATTATTTCTTGTTGATTGTCACAGGTTCAGGTTTGCGGTTTGGAAAATTGGCTGAACCAAACCAAACCACAAGATCAATAAACCAGCCTCCTGATTCTTGTATCCTGTGAGCCTATTGCAAAACAGCTCTCAGTAAAGAGACATTCCATGGCAATGGATCTAACCTTTCTATTATTCTCCTGTGCCCAAGCAATCTTGGCTGCCAAGTCAGAAAAATCAGGTTGAACTGTCATAATTTGACCCTTTTGGGTTGATTGTCACATGAACAGGAAAAAAATGCATGTAAGGGATGAGCCACAGTGTAAGATCCTTGTCAGGGGAAGCCCCACTTCAGACCAATCAGCCTGGGATCTGACATGTGATTGTAAGGGCAACTCCTGCCAGCCCGAAGGAAGAGAGCACACAGCACACAGCAACCTCACACGAGTCTGAGCACAGAGGGGGATCCTTAGAGACTATCAAATACAAGGGAGGTATACTACTCACCTGAGCACAGAGGGGGATCCTTAGAGAACGGTTCAAGGATCCATGTGCCCAGGTGTCACACTATATAGTCAGCTGTGACAAGTGACTAATGATGATGGGATATCACTGCCATGGGACAATGGCAGATGACAAGTAGATAATGACAAACCCCGATAAGATAGTGAGTGGCTCAGAGGGGCCAGTGATGACCAGCTCCTGAGGCACCAACAGTGGAAGGCCACACTGGAGGAGCCCAGTGGCCAGGCCAGTGCCGGGCCAGCCAGTGGAGACATTGGAGGCGAGGACCAATGCCCGACTGGGAAGAGGGGTGGTGCAGATGAGCACAAGGGCATCTGGTACGAGCCTGTACGGCAGTAGACCACATCCGTGGGGAGAAGGCCGAAGTAGAGGGGGAGGAGTGCATCCGGCAGTAGCACTCCCTGGTGCAAGGAATCGGGCTTGGCTAGACCGCTTGCGGGGATTTGAAGGAGATGGCTAGGAGAAGGAGGGAGAGGGCGGGTGTTGGCACGGATGGAGATGAGGATTGGAGGAGGAGGAGGAGGAGGCTGGGTGATCAACAGGTGAGCAGGCACAGGTTGGCAGAGAGGGCGCAGTGGGTCACGTGCATGGTCATGTGCCCAAGGAGTGCAGTGTCCCCTGACAGTGATTGTGCTTGTGTGACCTGTCAGCTGTCACACACAGCAGCCTGGACCGCTGCGCTGAGCGCTTCTCCTTGATGGCAGGTGGTGCATTGTATTGTTCCCATTGTTCTCTGATGGCCATGGTACTTATTGTTCCTATTGTTCTTGTTTGTTGCAGCACAGTCTTTTGTTCCTGTATCATATAAATAGTGGTCCCTGGCAAGGAGTATCCCCAACACAGTTTCTCTTTGGATTCTCCCTTGCCAGGACTCTGACATCGGGCCTCGAGGTTGCCCTTACAACTTCCATGAGCTGCGGCAATGTTAATGCAATATTGTGTGCAATCTTTGAATGCTGTGACAATCCATGGAGATTGTGGGAAACATCAAACAATTTGATGCATTGTGATCTGTCTGTCATGATTCAATCATTTTTCATAATCATTCCATCGATCACCTTATCTTATCATTGACATGGGACTATCTTATCACGGATTATGGCACCACACGGTCCAGGTTTAGGGTTCAAGAGTGTTATCTGTACAAGAGGTCGCGCGGCGTGTGCTCCAGAAGTCTATACTACAACCCATGACCAAAGCTCCACACGGTACATAGTCAGATGACTCCTTTGATGTAGATAAGACTCAGACTGGACTTAGTATAAATACAGTAGCCATTGTGTTGTATTCTCCAGTCTTGGAATTGACTTGTATTTTCACTCGTATTCTGTGTTGATTGTCACACTGTCCCTGACCATGTGATTTCAAAATTGTGGCCAGTGCTTGCTGTAGATATCAATGAACTGTCCATGTAGAAAGAAAAGAACATGCTAGTGCTTGTGTTTATTACTGGGTCACTGAGTGATTTTTTGTTGAAGTCACTGAGAGACACCAAAAGCAGTCACCACACCATTTACAGTGACCTAGAGCCCGATGACATAGAACTCACAAACAATCAAGGCTAAACAAAAACGAGCAGCCATCCATGTGACAATCAACTCAAAAACAAAGTCAAAAAGAGAAGTGAATTTGAAGACTGGAGAATACAACCAAGTAGCTACAGTATTTATACCCAAATCCAGTCTGAGTCATATCTACAACTAATGAGTCATAAGGCTATGTACCGCATGGAGCACTGGTCATGGGTTGTAGTAGAACCTGTCAGGGGAACCCCTGCTTTCGTCCGATCATCATGGGATCTCGCATGTGACCGCGCACGCGCCATCTGTCAAGTGTCACATGCTTCGGTCCGGACTTCCCTGCCAAGCGCGTCCACATGACACTCTGGCCTGGACCCCCACTGTCCCGACGGTCCGGCTCCCATTGTTCCCCCCGATCCGGCCCCTCATTGTTCCCTGACCCCATTGTCTGGTGCTTCCATTGTGCTTGGTCATCCATTGTTCTGTAGGCTATATATAGTGGGCCCTGACAAGGAGAGTCCCCAACTCGGTTTCTCTTTGGACTCTCCCTTGTCAGGACTCTGAGATCGGGCCTCGAGGTTGCCCTTACAGAACCTTCCGGAGCATATGTTGCACAGCCTCAAATCAATAAGGATAGTCCCCTGGACCTGTGGCCCAGACCATCGGATGCCGTGATCCGTGATAAGATAACTCATGCCAAGATAAGATAAGATCGTCGATGATAAGATGAAAAAGTGGCTGAACTAAGACAATCCGTGATCAAAACCCGCCCAATCATTTGAAATCTGCTGTATTTGCTCATCTTCTTTTCTAAGATCATCTTCTTTTCTAAGAACCTGACCCTTGCAAAGGCCCACCCTTTGCAATCAACTCAGTAACCAAGGCTGCAGAAGGAGAAGTGGATATTTTTGAGAGGATATTCAACCTTAGAAATTGCATGGAACTGCTCCCCCAGCCACCCAAGCAACATTTGCTTTTTCTTGGTCAATCGCTCTCAGAGTTGGCTTCTCCATCCTCCTTGCAGCGGAACTTCTTTTGTACAAGACACTTATTTGGCAAGTGCCAAGATGCAGCCTTACTCCATCTGCTAAATTAGCCCAATCAATGAGTCCACAATTTGAAAATGAGTGTTGCGCAAGGAATGATAAAGATGAAGCTTTTTGAGCTAGTGTCCGCAGAATGAAATGTGAATAGGATACAATATTGATAGATAGCGCAGTCCGAGTCTGCAAATCCCAGCTCAGAGAAATCGTATACTTTCTGGGTCTAGCCCCCGAGCCAGTCTAAGCATGACAATATTCCCCGTCAAGCTAGAGAACTGCCAAGCAAAATGAGCAACGGGCAGATATCAGCATCTCAAAATAACGACTCACCCCATTTCCCAGGAAGACTTCAGCACCCTCTGCGAGTGCCATATCCACCGCCATGGCCACACCTTTCTGCGCAGAATCGAGGAGCAAGTCGTAGCTCGACCAAACGTCGGTCCACCCTTCCTTCTTCAGCTCCTCTTCGAGACTACGGACCAACCACCCTCTCGCATTCGTCAGCACGAATACCCGTTTCAAAGGCGGACGATGGGGATATCGGGCAGCGTGGTCGGCGCGTACCTGTTCGAGTCTCTGGACGAGCTGGTCGACAGTGGGGAAACAGTGTGGCATGTAATCCGCCTCAGTACCCGGGACAAATCGGTCCGGCAGATCCGGGTGCGTGTTGATGCCAAGATACGTTGAATGATAGAGCGCTAGCCGCGGACAGTGGCGTTCGTAGTCGCCCTGTCGCAAATGCACCGCGACCAGGCCTGCATTGTTAGAAGTGACGTCGGCAGTGCCGTCATCGTGGGTGGAGTCAATGAGGTTGCGGAGCGGAGGGTATAAGGCAGAATTGTCGAGTGGACGGAGGACAGCAAAGTTGCGGGCAACCGCGCTCTGCACGAGCGGAGACCAGGTGAACTCGCGTAGGATGGGTGACAAAAATAGCGAGGGAAGTAGCGCCACCATCTGGTGCGAGCCAAAAAAGCTGTGATGCGACGGATGAGTGGGAATAAGGCAATTTACTTTGGCGCGCACTGAGAATCAAACACGGGCTCTTCCGATACGATCTCGACGCATCGGACATCCTCCACCGACTTCAAGTGCTCCACCCACCACTCCACTACCTCCATGGCGCTCGCACCCTTGAATCCGGCGGGTGTATCCTCCGTTGCGTGGACTGAATGCACTTGATCCGCGCCACATGCTTGTTCGAAGAACTCGAAATCGACTGCCCGCTTCTCCATCCGCTCGGCCGAAGCGCCACCTGCAAGCGGTCCCGACAAAAACGCGTTCAGCGGGATCCTCGACGGTCGCAACGCAAGGTCTGGCCAGAAAACAGTGTACGGAAATGGTGACTGAGACCAGGTGTAGTCTTCAAAGACGTACACGCGGTCTGTAATATGCGCAAGATGCGCTGCGACGATACTAAGCAGATATTAGTTACAACATGGGATCGATCGCGAGAAGTAAAGTCGCGCACGCTTCTTGCAACACATTGTTCCACCCATGCCCCACCAGATGCCCCGGAAATCTCAAGTACCTGCGGCCGTCGTGGACATCCCCGATTGTCGCATTATGCTGTGGCAACTGCCGCTCGTACGCCTTGATATCTGAATACGTCGACGGGATGCCGTTTATGATGAGCACAGCCAGGAACATGACGGGCATGGCCAGCAGCATGCATAGGAACCGTCGAAACGATAGTCGCGGTCGACTCCAGCGCGCGCCGCCCAGCGGCCTCGATGCCAACGAAAGCGGGGAGTCGGGAGGGGGAACGAGCTCGTAGTATTCGAGGTCTGCTTTGGTGTCCTTGCCGGTCAAGACGCGCAGGCTTGTCCATCCTCGGCGCAGTATACCCTGCATGAAAGGGGGAAAAGAGAGAGCGAAAGCGAGATTCTGCGATGACACAGAAAAGTCAGCTGGCAACGACGCAATGCAAGCGCTCCGACGCACACCCGTTGGACGTCGCCACTGAGCCGTCAAAAAGATCTCACCTGCTGCCGAAATCAATGGATGCGCACCGGACGTGTGAGTCGGGCTAGCGTGAAGTGGAGCTGGTTGCGGCGTTAAGGAGTTGCGTGCCTTGCTGCCACGTACTCGAAAAAAGATTGGGAGAAGAAGAAGCAGAGCTTAACAGAATGAAGGAAAGTGAATGGTGCTGAAGTAGCGTGTGTAGCTGTGCTCTCCGCAGTCCCCCTGGTGACTGGCGAGCCAAGAGGCCGCTTTGACAGCCGACGGAAAGAAATTCGGAACCCGGATGATGTGTCAACTCAAAACGTGTGCAGCGGCGTTCCTTGCTCCCCGAGCCATGCCCGGGGCTCATATATAGCGAGCCCTCAGCGTAATGATATCTTTCCCTAAATTATCCCCGCGCCCCGGACCTATTCTTGGAAATAATCTGCCGTAGCAATGTGATGACGTCATGGTCGTCATTGTTTCCACATAGTGAAGCAGGACGTTCCAGTTTTGATTTACCAGGCTCCCGACTACTCCCCATTCTCCCCTCGAAGGCTGATTTACGCCACGCTCAGGATTTTTTCATGTTCTAGCGGCTGTTCGCATCATCTTAGCTCAAGACTTCGCATTCCCGTTGATTCACACTGTTTCGCACGGAGACCTGGCTATTTTGGGGCTATGATTTGGACCAAGTATTCCAGATTAAGTTCATCGGGAGTAGCTGGAGGGAAGTGGTCTACCTCTGCTGCGAAATGCCCTGACCGGCGTCGACAGTTGCTCCCCCAATCGTTCTCGTTGAAAATCCGAACAACACGTTGCCTGTGGAATTGATGACGTCAAACAACCCATCAGTACCTGATCGAAAAGATCTTTTGACCCTGACGAGACGCCAAGTGCCCTGTCCAACTGCGCTTCCATGCTCCTGAATCGAATGCATTCTAGGGTTGTGTGGGAAAGTCGACTAAGGATCCCAAATCGGACTTGATGTCACTTGGATACCAAACAAAACATCATCTGCCTCGAAATTGAGTGTAGTTATTGCTGCGACTGCATATTCATGAGTCAATGCTCAGGGAAAATTCCAACCGTTGATGTCTAGATACATGTTCCATCGTTTCGCGTTTCACTCTTCCCTTCATCTGTTCACGCTGGGAGCTGGCATACGGATGTTATCAGTTTTCTGACAAGTGAGACAGGGCGCCATGCTTCGGAACAGAGCCTCGGAACAGAATACAATTGAACAGTCTCTTCGGCCATGCGGGTATGAAGGGAAAGATTGGACCAAACCTCAGCCGGTTACTCGACCCCACCGTGCGACTAGACTCTCAGGGTTTCAATGCTCACCTTTCAAAGCGATCACGAAGTGCTGATCGTGTCGCGCGATTCTTGGACTGAAGGAAAAAGAGAATGATGGCTTTACATCTCTTCGTTCACAGTCTTCTTTCTTCTCTTCCCTGCTTTCTCGAAAGCGTTGGACAGCATGCCCAAAGGTCAACTGAAACCGGGAATCTGGCGTCAAAGGTCTCATATTGCGCTGTACACGAAGAGGCTATTAGTAGCCGCGATCTGTGCTCAAATTAGCACACTGGCCGAAAGTTGCTTGATGCGAGACTGCTCACCGCAACGGTAGATTCTCGCGGATGCCAACTCGCGTGAAGGATCTTCTTATTATAGTCGGGCGCCTCGTTCGTCATTGCGTCCCGGAGACTCTTGCTCCCTGTCAGATGTATCAGTTCCTTGGTTCAATTGAGATACGGAAAACATCAACATACCTGCAGCTCTCCGAGTCTTCAATACCGACTTGTCCGCCTGCAGAACCACATCTCGACCGACAGCGCCCTCGTCCTGCTCGACATCCAATACCCGGAAGTAATTGGAGTACGAACCCGTCAGGACTTGTCTGTACATCGGAAACAAACAATGAGATGACAATGCGCAGACAACAGAGCCCGGATTCCTACGTACTTTCCGTCAGAGCCCCATACGCCTTCCCATTTATCGAATATGCAATCGTTCTCGTATAAATCGCACAGGCGATTTCGAAGATGATCGTGCACGTGGATCGATCGCAGCGGCCGGCTCTGTTGGCGCACATCCCACACTTTGAGACTCAGGTAATCTTCTTTCGTGAGAACACAATTGGAGCGAGAGGGAACAGCATACCACGCGCCAAGATTTTGGTCCCATCCGCACTCCAGGACGCATCTGAGATGCTCGATATGATTTCCGAAAAGAAAGAACTCGACGCTGGCGGTGGCGGGTCTTCGTAGCCTGTGCAAGCATGGGGAGATCATGAGAATGTGATCCTGAGTGGGAACGCACGCAAGCCCTCGTGTCCATCTACAGTAGCCCCAGCCCTGAGATCTCCGACTCGAACAGCTCCCTTTGAGGTCGCGAACAGGAACATCGAGCACTCGGATGGATGGAACGAAGCTGACGTGATCACCTCCGTCAGCTCCTCCATGTTGTCGGGCTTCAAATCAAGAATATCTGCAAAGCATCATCGTACTGAAACGGGACGCGGTCTAGTATACGCACTGAAGCTCTTGTTGTCGACTCCCAGGTTCCAAAGATTGATCCGCAAGTCATCTGCGGAGATGTAGGTCTCCTGATCAGAGTTGACTGAGATCGAGTGAATGTGATACGCGTGCGCGTTGCTGTACGTCTATGCGGTTATACGGCGTGTTATCGATATGTGCCGCGTGACGTATGGCAAAAAGCGCGCGCACCTTCCTCGGGACGGCCGCGATGATCTTCTCGTTGAGGAGCATGCTCGGCAAGCGCAGTCTGCGGAGATCTGTAGGCGCAGGAAGCGGTCGTTGGCCGTCGTAGTGGTTGGTCTGTGCCACCACCCGAAGTGACTTCTCGAATACCTTCCATAGCTTAATCGTCTTGTCTGGCGGATCGTAAGTCAAATGAGTGAATGAGAGTCTGCCGATCCGCCTTACCATTGGTCGAGATGAGCGAATGGGCGCCGTTCGCCCTTCCACACCATCGGATCGCGTTGATTTTCTCCTCAATCTCCAAACTCTTGAGGTAGTCAAACTCCGCCTCATGCGACTGAAACTCGGTGTAGAACTTGTACTCGCACGCGCGTTTTGAGCGATTCCGCTCGAAAAGTACGATCCGCCCGCCCTTATCGCCGGTCGCGAGGAAGTCGCCCGACGGGTCGAACTCCACTGCGGAGATGATATCCGCTGCATCGCAGTCGTCAGCATGACCTCTGGGATGTCTCCACCGCGTCTAAGGCTCCCCAGTACATGGACGCGTGCGCACCTTCCGTAATCTCTTCGATGTCCCCCTTGTCTCCAAACGCCTGTGCGAAACGCCATCCACCGGTGTCGTCCATCAGAGCGGCAGGTGCGGGTGCGGTCGTGATATCGTGTAGGGTTCGTCAGAGATCGGGAGCGGTTGAGGAGCGGTCGGGATCGCGAGCTTGGCTTGGCCGAGTGGCTCGTGCAGGGTGCGTGTGGGGAAGGGGGCTGATGGACACAGCCACCTGTCAATCATTATTATCCCGAATATTAGCCGTCTTTCGATGAAAGGCTGCCAGCAACTGGAGCGTCAAAAGTATGGAGGCCGGGAATTATATGCTGATAAGCGGAGGACATATCACTGATACGCGAAAGTTTGCCGACATGGCATCAATGTCATGATGCGCTCTATGTCATGATGCGCTCTGTCTGGACCCCGAACGCTCGTTAACATGTATGAAAAAGGCCAAGTACATGCACTGTAGAGTAGCGATAGAGCGTAACTACTTACATGAGACTAGACAGTCCAAAAAACTTGCAGTAACCGGAGCATACATGCTGCTCAGGAAACTTCTCGAAGAACCTGCCTGAATTGCCACCACCAAACAGACCACGTTCGAGAGTCCTGATGATCCAGTCAGATATCAAGAGCACGCAGATTGACACAGCAGTGGACTGCGCACGGTGAAGTCATAACCTGCGGATCCGTCAAGAGATTTCCGGAGCCTTGGATAGAGTTAGTATGAAACAGTGAGCCAGATCGAATGAACCGGCCTTGAAGATCAGAAAGAAAGACCAAACGCCCGGTGTGTTCGTATTGGACATGTTGTGTAAAACAGAGGAACGATGCCAACAGCTTGAGATCTTCTGGAAGCGACGGAACGGGCACTGCACTATTGTTATTGATGTACTTCACAAAATTGCCTGAAATTCAGTGAGCAATATACTCGAGTCGTTGCAGAGAACAAATCCGTTCCAATTAATTCTTCAATGAGATATGATCGTCGGAGTGATGTCATCATTTTGCTCGACTTGCCATCTGCCACCGCATTGTGAACCAGAGCAACGCCGGCCTCGACAAAGCGGACTTCAAAGATAGGGAGGTCGCCTGGTGGCGCGACATGCTTTGATATGTAGTTACGCACGAAAGAATAAACGAAACTGAGAAGGGTAGTGCCCCAGAATAGGAGATGTGCCTCCGATACATGGTGCGCATATTCATCGATGGGGTTGAAGTGGATCAAGACGCTATTCTCGTTGTTCTTGAACATGCGTTTCGCGGCAACGGCTTGATTTGGAAGCGCTCCGAGGGGTGTGGTTGGCAAAGTGGACAGCGTCAGAAACGCAGAATGAGCAGATTTGAACGAACCGATCCCCAGAGGCTTCTCCGAAGGCTGGAAGCTTAGTCTTCCGTTGGGTATTCATCCCGTGGCTTCAGGGCGAGCTTGAGCTGTATCGGCATCGCGTGAACAATACCGCAAAGCGCTGTGATCGTAACAAGATCCTTCCTCACAGTGTTCCGACTAGCATGTTTGAGTTCCCAGAGGATTACGCCATCCTCGATTTCAAGGTACGAGTCCGATTTCATCAAGTACAAGCCACTAACTACTAGTCCCTTACAGATCAAGGTCGATCCTATCGGTATTGAAAAAGTCCGACAGATGTACGCACCACCTGATCATGACGTCTTTCTCCTTGTTCCCCCTGACTTCGAGATCGCGATCTTGGATATCTATGCAAAGCTTAATAGCCCTATTGTGGACCGGGACTCATGTTGGGATGTATATCTCCAGCTCCTGAATCGCCTCAAGGAGTTGGATCAGCTCAACAATGTCAGGGGACGCCGCGCTCCTTGGGCACGTGACCATGCACGTGACCCACTGCACCCTCTCTGCCGACCCGTGCCTGCTCACCTGTCGATCACCCAGCCTCCTCCTCCTCCTCCGATCCTCATCTCCATCCATGCCAACATCCGCCCTTTCCCTTCTTCCCCCGGCCATCTCCCTCGAATCCCCGCAAGCGGTCTAGCCAAGCCCGATTCCTTGCACCAGGGAGTGCTACTGCCGTATGCACTCCTCCCCCTTCACTTCGGCCTTCTCCCCGCGGATGTGGTCTACTGCCGTACAGGCTCGTACCAGATGCCCTTGCGCTCATCTGCACCACCCCTCTTCCCAGTTGGGCATTGGTCCTCGCCTCCAATGTCTCCACTGGCCGGCCGGGCACTGGCCTGGCCGCTGGGCTCCTCCAGTGTGGCCTTCCACTGTTGGTGTCTCAGGAGCTGGCCATCACTGGCCCCTCTGAGCCACTCACTATCTTATCTGGGTTTGTCATTATCTACTTGTCATCTGCCATTGTTCCATGGCAGTGATATCCCATCATCATCAGTCACTTGTCACAGCTGACTATATAGTGTGACACCTGGGCACATGGATCCTTGAACCGTTCTCTAAGGATCCCCCTCTGTGCTCAGGTGAGTAGTATACCTCCCTTGTATTTGATAGTCTCTAAGGATCCCCCTCTGTGCTCAGACTCATGTGAGGTTGTTGTGTGCTGTGTGCTCTCTTCCTTCGGGCTGGCAGGAGTTGCCCTTACAAACAATATCGATCAGAGTGCCGATGCAAGGTGGGGGCATGTGCTGACCCAGCCGGTCGATAAAAACATTCCCCTTCTCCCAAACTTGCAGGAACTGCAGGGCGGTGAGGGGGTCGTCGGAGAGGGTGCTTATTATATGGGTGGAGTCAACAATGGGGATGGTCTCGGTATGTTCCATTACTTGGGAACCTTACTGTTCACTGACTCGTCTCCTTTCGGAGGTCCTGAACATCACGCACGTCTGAACGCAATGATCAACGATATCGAGCCCGAAGTGTATCCCATGCCCAACTCCCAGTTACCGGATGACGCTCATGCATTGTACGCATGGTTCTCGGACAAAGAGGACTCTCAGGATTTCAATGATCATTGGTAGTACATACATGCTGACGAGCAGTGATGCGCCCTAGCCCTGAAATCAATCGATCACGTGCACGAAAAGATCTCAATGGATTTGTCAGCGAGCTCATCAAGGTTGTTGCACGTGATCATTCTGATCATCACTGGATGCCTCCGGCGGGGTCCTATTTCGGAGTTCGTCTCCTTGTTGTGCTCACAGGACTCATTCATTTCGGCAAAATTCAGCACTGACTAAAGAAATAAATTAACATAGAGCTCAATGGTCACCATATCAACAGGAGGTTCAAGTTACTTATCTCCTTTGGATTTGATTCACACTTACTGTACCGTGCCAATCAAATCGTCAGTCACGCGTCACAGGCTGCCTGACGAAGTCGAAATTTGTTTTGATGTCACGCATCACATGCTCAGGTGACGAATTCATTTTTCCGTTCGGAAATAAATAAGGCTTGTGGGGTTCAGCTGAAGTGTTAAAAATACTTGTGTACCCTTCCCTGTGTTGTTTTGAGTCTGTCTGGGGCTATCACACAGATAGCTTCAGATCAAGTTGCAAGCAACTCATAGGGAGGTGAATGCATGACCTGACGAAAAAATCAACATGTCACATGTCATGGGGGGACCTGACGAATTGACGAATTGACCTTTTGTGTCACGCATCACACCCCCTGACGATTTGATTGGCACGGTACAGTAGTATAAAAGACCTGTAGTACAGTACAAGAAAAACAAGAAATCTTCTTCACCCACTCTCTAGAGTCTAAAGTGACTTCCCAGTACTTTCTATCTCGCTTTCTCGGCGCCTGCTTCTGCATTATTTTCCCAACATCGCCCCCAAACCCCCATTTCGTGCTACAGACATACATATTGATCTCCCCGTCGTTCTATCGTCCTCTCGTCCTGTCCTCCGTCGTCATTATCGTCCCATCGCCTGTTCTATTGTCCCTTTACTCCCCCTGTTGCTCGCTGCTGCCCCCGCCCATTTCAGTTAAGCCCATTTCCCCGAGCCTGACCTTGTTAGGATCAGAATCCCACAAATATACTGCGCGAGCTCGAGCCGCAGCTCCCTCCCCACGACCTCCGACTAGCCCCCTGTCTCTCCCCGTACAGCTGCGCGCTCATACGCTCCGTAGGCGTGTCAATGCTAGTAATACACTTCAGCGTTCGGGGTCCAGACAGAGCGCATCATGACATAGAGCGCATCATGACATTGATGCCATGTCGGCAAACTTTCGCGTATCAGTGATATGTCCTCCGCTTATCAGCATATAATTCCCGGCCTCCATACAAAAGCCGGGATAGGGGTCAAAAGTGTAACTTTCCGCCTCAATTCTCCCTCTTACAACACAGCACGTAAGAGAAATTTTTATCTGTGAGCAACGCACGTGTTGTCCTCGGGGTCGCGACTGAACGCCTGGCACCAACCCTCGTCCGGCCTCCACAGATTGCCCGGAAGCACCTTTGCCTCATCCCTAGGATTATCTGAGAACGCCGGGTCCTGATGATTCTGTGATATAAGCCACATGCGACTTCTATGAGGGACGGTGGCCTCGCAATATGCAACCAGCTGTCAATGGGCGGAAGGGCGTCGGATACTTGCATTCCCTCCATAATCCGGTCCTCCCATGCAGTGCTGACAGACGCCAGTCAAATCATCGTACTTCTTCCATCCTCGTCCGCAATCAGAGTCTTCTCTGCTGCCGGGTTGTCCATGTAGTCGAAACCGCTTCCTTCGTTAACCTCCAAGGTGGTGATTTCGGTGTCTAGAAGAGATAAAGGGGCTTCAGAATACTTCGATGAGCCTGGTCATGGACGGCTGTGCATAGGGCGGAGTGATTAGTACACCAGTTCCCGTGCAGCCCGGCAAATCAACTCGCGTCTGTTGTCCTCTCCTTCTGCGCATTGGTACGGGTCTGTTCAGATCGTGTTTAAGAGCTTGGAGCACATCCAAGAGGGCTATATGCACGATCCAGTTGTTATTCTTTGGCTGGATGACCTTCGTTGGCATCATTGCTTATCGATTTCAATTGAGATGCGGCACCAGCTCGAGGTGTCGCTGAGCCGTGGATGCCGGTGAAGACTGAAGAGAGCGGGCAAATGTTGAGATGGGATCTTGCTGAAAATTTAGCCCTGAAAAGCCTTCAAGAGTTCAGAACTAGCTTCGGACGTGGCGCCATCTGATTATCCCGCGGGTGATTTGAACCCGGGTGGCCTTTGCGCAGCAGCCCGGCACGAGGAATACCTGGTTCGGTTCTCATGCCAACGAAGCGTTCCAGTGAATAAAGTTAGAAGAGCTGTAGACGCGCATCACATGCTGCAGCTGTTCGCATATGATTAAATTACGCTCGGCACAGCGTGCAACATGTATGTATGGAAAGGGCGGCACTGCGACTCTACCTTTGACCCATTTTTTCTTTCTTTGACTGCAATGTGAAGAATGTTGACGATGAGATATCTGACACAAGTCCCTCTTGAGAGCCTGCAGGAGTGCCTGACGGCAGTGTCGAATCAGGAGTTGATTGATCGAACACAGCCTTTCACATCTTGCTGTTTACCCACTGCCACGCCAGAGGCTGCCGATAGCCAAGCTTCCCAGGCCGAAGCCGTCTTCCATTGGCTGGGTCTTCGCCTAATATAACGCGACTCTGTTGCTCTCCTCCGGATACCGGGCGTCGGCCGGCGATTCAACTCTGGAACCAAGACAAAAAAGTGAGCGATACCCAGCGGTCATCTAAGGCCGGTTCTTATCAGCATGCGTTCCGCTAGTGTACCAGTCGCTCATCGAGATGGATGAAGATTTCAGTCCATTCCCGCACCTCGCTCGGGAAGCAGCGATGCCGAATCGTTGTGGAAACGTTGCTCCAATTTAGGGTCTCCATATCAGCCAAGACCCCACGGTCACCATGTGCCGGAGTGCCGCAAAAGATTGGCAGCAATCATAATCATCCACTTTGCCAGAATTCTCGTCTTTTACGCTCACGACGACGGCTGGCTGTGTCTGTCCCCCTTCTTCTTCTTCCCGCTTCCCCCTCCCCTCCCTTCCCTCTCCCTCCCTACCCGGGATTGTACCGATGTCGGGCATCACCCCTTTCCGATGCGCGTACGCGTATCTTTCGCTTCTCATCACGCTTCTCGCGGAGATCACACGTGTGCGGTCCTCCGCCGCATTCACGCAGTACGCGAATGACTTTGTCGACCCGAAGTTCGCGACGGGCCATTACGGGGCGGCGCTTGCTGGATCACAGCAGACGATCATGGCGTGGGCGGACGAGATGGATTCGTATTCACCTTGGAGTGTGTGGTTTCTTTTCTTCGCCGCGCTTTTCCGGCCGCGGGGATTGACCACCTCGTTGCTTATTTGCAGGCGTGACATTCAAGCCGGTAACCGCTCCGAGTGGGAACAAGCATGACTATATGAGCTGGGCTCCGTAGTGAGTCCGTCCAC